CTTATACGAGATTACTCACATTATATTCAATAGCTAAAAGTGATAGTTTTCGAACCCCCAACATACTTGAGGAGTTTGTAACATTAATTCTGTGACAGTCTGTACATTTCTAATGATATGTGCATGCGAAACGTGGAAGCTAAAGTGATCGATTGTAATTCCCAGTGCTATCGCTTCTATTGTAAAATTGTTTCGGCCAATGCTGAAGCCAGATTCTTTCATCACGAACATTTTCGCTAGCTCTTATTATAGCCATGTGAATTAACGTCCATACAAAAATACAAATATATAAACAATATACAAACTTTTCATATAGTGTCGAAACTGAACAACATGCGAGTTTTGTGCGAATTACCTGGCATAAACAATACATTGACGAACAATAATAAAACAACCCGATTGGTTTACCCACATAATTAACAGTACTTTCTAGTGAATGGTGAAATAATACTTTCATAGCGCAGAAATTCATTCATGGTTCAAGAAACTGGTTAGAAGTCTGAATTTGCTACACAAGAAGTATGAATTCTCAACAAGAAGATAACAAATGTTAGGCTGTAATATTCCTGTTTTCGGTTGGAACTTCGTCACAAATAAAGTGTGTCAGTGCTGTTCGAAAGAAAGTCAAGATTGGTGCAGGTGGTGAGGAGATACAAGTAATTTTGTACCCCAAAAATATTCATGTATGCACAATATATTACGTATGTACTATGTATGTTTGTATGTACGATTACATGTATGAATATGATGTGATGGGGTATGATTATATTTATGATGGTAAGTATATAGGTTTGTATGTATGTTTTTTTTTAATTTCTGAATGCATGTGCGAGTCAAACATAACTATCAGATTGGAAGCTGTTGAGCTGAAACGTTTTAAAAACGTGTTTAAGATGTATGATGTAGTTGCGTCGTTCCGAAGATCATTAGTCTGTTTAAGTTTTTGGTGTCACGAAGCCTCTCTGACATTTTAATTTTTTTCTAGAAAATGGCGACAAACTGTTTCTTTATTTTTTCTTCCGAGAGAAGAAAGTGCATTTATAAATAAGGAAAAATTACTAGTTTCCTTAAAAACTCGGAATTTTAAAAATGCAAACATTTACTTATTTTTACCTGACCTACATTTAAAATATTAAAGCAATCTCTCCCCAATTTTAGATCTTGAAATGATGCGATGAATTTTCTCTAAATATTTAAGTTGTTGAGTTATAACTAACAGGAGGAAAGTTTCGGTTTGCTGCGAAATTCTTCCTAGTTCAACATTCTAACGTTTTACGAAGAGAAATAATATTTTGACAACAATGTGATGTCATGAACATGTTATTAATGCTCTGGAAAACAAACACAATGTTTGAATACGTCAAAATTAATTTTCTGTGAGGAAACATATCTTATTTGTTTATTCAGAATCCCCATTCTAAAATCCTGCATGAATCACGATAAAACATAATCGTCAGCCCATGAAGCAACAGTAGATATTTCGGTTCTGCTGATAAAGAATATCTAAACCTACCTTCTGCCATCCGCAGAGATTGCGCCAGTTGCTCTTAAGTTGTCGGAGTATAATTTACACCAGGAACAACCACCGAGAGAAGCTCGTTTGTTTTATGGTTCGCGCTATCAGACGCCATCAATTATTACCAAGACATTCGGAATGAAGAATCTCACCAACATCGAAAGCTCGCAACATGCAAGTCCATTTTGTTCGTAGTTACACTTCCCGTGACAAAGATATTAGTCACAAACATCTCATGTTACGTATATAATTTCCGGATATTGTAAATTACGAAAGAGCAATATTTCTAAATATTCTCATATCTCATTCATAGCGAAAATTTGCTTTCGAAAAAAAACAACAATTTAGAACATTTCTCCTGCACCTAAAACACAGCACGTCATAGACACAGAGTATTCCGGAAACAATAGCTTAAAGGTTTTTCTAACAAACTGTAAAAATATGAATTGATATCAGCGACTCGCATGATACTTGCAACTTGTTACAGAGCTGTACATTTGTTTTAGAAGATAATATCAGATTTATTTTAGTAGTTACTCGTAGTGATATTTTGCTGTTTGTCACGTCACCACACTAAAATAAGCAGTTTCATAAAAACATTGTAAATGTAGAATTCAAAATAAAATTTGTTGGGTACACAAAGACGATTCCAGTCTTTTCCTTATTGGGATCTATTTTAATAGGAAGGCTTTATTTCAGTCATTCAGCAACAAGGGTTTGGGCGAACCGGCAATTCAGTGATGTATATCACGCAAGGGTTGGGTTTTGTGCCGTAATGGCTACTGTAGGGCCATCTTAAAATGGGGATTAAATTGCAACTTATGAAAAATGTCACTGTCGTACCTGGAGACAAAGCATGTTTTCGAGGAGTCAGAGAGAAATTTCGGATTGTTATTGTCCTTTCTCTGATAATTTTCCTTTCTCTCATACCTGTCTTCACTTTTCGTGGGAAGTAATGTTTTCATTACTTTGTCAGCTTCTTCTAATATTTTATTCGCAATATGTTCAAATATCTTCTCATTTGCAAATATTTCGTGCAAAAAACAAAACAATGCAAGGCCCATTAAAATATATCTTTTTCAATAGCAATACTACGTCATGACCCTGATGGTAAAGATGGGCTTGAATTTATTAAAATTTAAATTATTCTTGTAAGGAAGCTAAAGAATATTGAATGTAAGATGCATAAAGTCGTATAATTGCATAAGAAAGGTCGTATCGTCGCACATACCGCTCATGCAATTATCCCCCTCTTTATACACTCCTTTCGTTAATTACTATATTTACGGAATTAATTTATTACAAGTTTCATTTCATTACATTGAGTTATTTCAAAATCAGCAATTACTCTGTCCTGAATATCTAGGTATATTCTCGTTTAAAAAACAGAATTTACATATATTCACAATCTTAAAAGTTTGGACGACAATGTAACTAAAAAATGTTTTAATGTAGATGGTATTTTTCCTTTTTCAATCGATTCAATGAAACAATTATTTTACATTTACGTTCTTATTACTATACGCTCCCCTGCGACACATCTAAACATGTATGTTAGAAGAAATAAGTCTATCCGAGCATGTTTGGGTCGAGTAAGAATGCACTGCTGAATATACTGCTACTTATACATTTATATATTCACTTTTAAAAACCTATAAATAATAATAGATACAATAAACAATGAAATAATGTTTTTTAATCCCGGAAATTGTGATGTTATAGAAATTTTTGGATTATATATATTTGTTTCTGACACGATCCGTTATTAAAACGATGAAACATATTTTGATAAGACTTCCATATTGAATGTGTAATTAACACAAAAGTTTGTCAAAAGATTACTTTAATAATCATATTTTCTTTGCACAAACAAAAATTTAGTCAACTTTTAAACTCGAAAATATGGATTACTTATTTTGATCACACTTTTACGGATGAGATTTTTAATTTGAATGAGAGATAAGACAAAAGAATTATCACACATCGGAAAAGGCTTCCATGGAAGAGAAAGCGTGACCCTGGCAGGCGAGGTACACAGACAACTGTATTGAACTGTATCAAGCGAGGGGTGGTCGAATCATAGGTCTGTAAATTGGCTGTTGTGATCGGTAATGGACTTAGAAGCCGTACAGCAAATTCATTTCCCATTCTTGCATGCTCCCCGTCTTGTCTTACCCGTGTTTTCCTGCCAATTCATGTTGAATTTGAGGTGTGCTAAGCAAGCCCTCAGCAGGTTTTCTCGGGGCCCTATTTTTATTTGCCTCTCTTACAGGCCTCAATGCACGCCTTCCAACGCTGAGCCTCAGGGTTTCCTTTGCTAATTCAAGTGGAAGTTGCGTTGGGCAAAGTAAGCTCTAAGCAGGTTTTCTCGGGTTTTCTCGATTTCTCTCGTTTTCTGCAGTTTCCTCGGCTTCTCATCACACCAATTCTCCATCCGTTATTATTCAACCCATCTTCATTATCGCTATACTCATTAGATCACTCTCGATTATCTCCGAAGTATCTCCTTTACCCTAACAAATTAATAAAGCAAATAAATTATGACGACGTGTATAGATGAAATATTATGTTTTCAATGGCACGGTAACTATTCATGGCCCCTTATCTCTGCAATGAACAGCAACCCCTTAACCACACCAGCCTTTCAGAGACCAGGGCAGCACGCTGAACGAACTTTCGCTGCAACCAAATACATTTGTAAATGCCGATTTGAAAGTGTGTCTCCGCCTTGTCATCCGACCCGCCCTTTCAGCTTCCGCCGCCGCCGCCCCCTCCCGTCGCGCCGCGTCTTCTTGTGCGTCGCGCAATTTGCGAGCGCCCCGGCGACGGCGGCGGCGGCTGCTGCTTCGAATTCCCCGGACGCGCAGAAACGCATAGTTTTCTTTTACGGCCCGCACTTGGAAGTGCATCCTTCAAGATCAGGTTTCGAGAAAATTGCAGAGAAAGCCCGATTCGGAGCGTCGTAAAGCCGAACGCGGTTCCGAAACAGAGCGAGGCGAATGGCTTTCCCGATAACGGCAGCGCACGCAATCGCGGACGGCCGCCGACGCAAAGCGAGGCAAAGCGACGCAAAGCGAGGAAGGGCAAAGCACGGCGAGGCGGAGCTAGGCGGAGAGGGGCGCGCCAGAAAGCGGCAGGCGCGGCCTCCTGAAGTACGGCTTCCGGAAGCCGTACGACGGACGGCCCTGTGATGGACTTCCCAATGATGTTTTAACGGATTTCCACGGCCCTCTTCCAACGACTTCAAAGACCCTGCGAGCGATCGTTGAAGAATGTGTTTCTGGGGATGCGAGATATTTCTACGGTCAAGGCCACACTCTCTCTAGTAGAGGTAAAGAATGATATAATGGCCTATCGTTGCGTTTCTGATGTTATGCACATATAAATATATTTATCACAATTATACTTACAGGTGAACTTCATATTGTATTGCAACATTTAATATAAATTTATAATAACCAAAAAAATTCAAATTATAACTCACCTTCTTAACTGCATGCTTCACAGCAAAGGACATACATCCTAAAAATTCACTCCTCCTGCAACAGAAGAGAAAATTATTTTAGAATTAGAAAATCAGCAACGTGTGTTTTCGCAATACAAACAACGTATTTTGATATAACATAGCAAAATGTACCTATTATTGAATAAAATAAACACAATTGAAGAATTTGATCAGTGCTATATATTAGTTACAGTGCGTTAGTAACTGTGGTAAACAGATTAGCAAATACTCTACCCTTTTTAACTTCAACAAAATTTCACCATAAAACGTATTTTCAGAATCTCCTTCTAAAGTACCGCCGAATCCGACGTCACTTTACCGCACGTCTTCCACAAAACAAGACAAAAACATACCCGGAGAAAATATAAGGCTTTTATTGAGAAGCCATTACGGCAAGGTAGTCGCAAAGTAGCTACCCCTTTCAGTTCACTCCGAACACCGCAACACAGGGAAGCACTCAGCACTTGGCGCCCGTTTATGAAAACGATGATCGAGTCACGGTCCACTGGGACGGTTCAAAGCGGGGCCGCCGGTCCTCAGGGCCCGCTGCTCCCCCACTCCCACCCCCAGAGCAGCGAGCGTGGGCAAAGGCGGGGAGCGGTGCCCAGAGGTGGGGTGAGGCGGAGGGAAATGCGAAAGGTCGGGTTAGAGGGGAGGGGACGCGGGACGGGGCGACCAGAGCGGGGCAAGGAAAGTTGGTTGGACGAGCTTGGTGTTGTGAGCCGTACCGGCCGAATGGAGCGGGCAGGCGAAGGGAAAACCAGCGGGGCGTGAAGAGCGAGGTGGGGCGGGGAGAGCCTGGGAGAAATGGGGTGAGCAGAGATGGGAGGGTAAGACTGCGGTGAGCGGGAGAGAGGACGGAGGCGGGGCGGAGGCAAGGGGGCGGGGCGCGGGCGCAGCGCGCGATCAAAGGGCGGTGTCTGCGTTAATTGTGCGCTTGTGTAAACTTGGCAGAGGAGAGAGCGCGCAAGAACAGAGCACGGACAAGCCTTCGCGCCGCTTTGTAGCCCCTGCGCACGGAGCACCACTGCACGCCCGTTCTGTACTGCGGGTTGCCGGCCGTTACGTCACGACACGGCGCTTCTCTGTAATGATGGGAGTATTCGACTAGCGCTTCTCGAAACTTCACTTCGATTTTGAATCACGAGCATTCTGAATATTAAGGATCAAAGTAGTTTCATACTTTCAGGAACGTGGAATTGAAATATTAAGTACGCTATTTAGGGCAGTGGCTTAGATGCCATTGTCAATATCATTGTTGGTTTCTTTTTCGGAAGTATTTTTTTTTCTTTCAGAAATTTCATGATAATATGTAATATAAGCTAAATCATGATAGAATAATATTCTTTACACATGAACACATATTCTTATATTATAGTTTCACATCAATTAATGGTTAAATGCAATTACTTGTATCATGCATAGATTTAGACAGAAATTCCGAAAACGCTTTTTCGGAACACGGGTTACTTAAAAAATTGCCATGAAATTGCAGTTTAATATGTTATGGAAGGTCACATTACGTTAGTCACGGATGAGTCGGCTGCCCCGATCAATTGTATGGTCACCCTAATGCAATCGATAGCCTCGTTTAGGCTGAACAACGTGCGTAAGAAAGCAAGCTTCTGTTTCTTGTTGGTGTGCATACACACTAGTTTGATAATAAACTGTAGGTATACTGCTCTACGAGGAATTCACTAATACATGAAATTTATGTGTAATAGGTAGAAGAAATCTAATGTGCTAACAGATAACGGTGATCTGTCTTACTAACAAAGTTTTTATGACATGTAATATAATAATTGAATAGATATAATTTGTTTTTTATCATCGTAAAGAAGCCAGTTCGATTGCCCTGATTAAAATTATCAGCACTAGTAACACGTTTTTCTGTTGTATCTTTAACTGAAGTGCATGTTATCCGTAACACTTCGTTCAAAAATATTAACATTTTTCATGTTCTTCACTACTTCGATCACTAACCAGTAAAAACGTTACAGCCAACTGAATTAGTGTACCGTACCATTTAGACGTACCATTAGTGTACCATATCAATTCCATTTAAAAAATTAAGAAATTCAAAGAGCGATGGAACATTAACGAACTAATCTAAAACTCATCAGTATACAGAACAAATGAACAGTGACCGAAAAGAAACAAAGGGGAAATCAACGATTAGAATCTTGGTTTTAATCAACATACGAGTATTGTAAAAACACGAAAGTAATATTCAAGGCAGGATGATGAAAGCGTCACTGAGAAGGAAAATACTATCCACAGTAGTAACCAGTAAAGTTCGATCTCTTTCATCTAATAACAAATGAATTCCTTTTTTACACCACCGCAGTATTTGTGGAAATGTACATATTGCAGTTGTAATAAGGATATGCGAATAAAATACACGTTAATCGTGTCGTTAAATAACACGTTAATCGTGTAGCGTGGTCAGTAATGGTCAAACGCCCTGAAATAATAATTAATAATAAATAATATGAATAATAATTAATAAGTAAATAATAATAATAATAATATAAATATATTAATAACTGACATTTATATCACAGGAACCATTACACGATAATGCGATAAATTTCTGCCTGCTCCGAGTATCCCAGCTTCATCTCTATATCCCACTGAAATCACAAAGCACTGCACAACGCAAATTCTTCTAACCCCTGGTGGGGGGCAGGTTTCGCCTAGTTGACATCGTTTAGATGACCACGAGGGGCGCTCACCGAGCTAGCCGGCCTGGCTTAGTTAAACAACTTACCTCTTAAATTGGATAGGACTTGGCTGAAAGAGCGCAACTCCTGACAGCGACGCTGCGGGCGCCATTGCGTGTCCTTATCGACCCCCCGGTGAAGGGGGGACGTCTGAATGTGGGCCACGGACGTAGACTATCAGCCTACGAATGTGGACGCCGCTGGACACATAGCCCATGTCTTGCTGAAACATATACCCTCTCCCAATCTCATTGAAGCACAGGGCATACAAAATTGTTTTTCTCCTTTAAAAACCTACTGCTTCAATCGGTTATTAATATGCGAACTTTGTTATACGCTACCAGTAACGCCGCCGAAGCTGAAATGAACGGCGACTTATTTCTTCCTGCTTCTTTTAACGACTGTTCTATTTTATATCCGTGTTAAAGCCATATAAAATAACAATTATATCCAAATACAACTTGTTATTTTCATGCACAATAGAATTACCAAACAATTTGATTCATATCACGGCGGGAACTGATTTACAAATAATAAATATTGAATATATGCAGTAACCATGAAAACTCATAGCAAATGGGCATCGTTTAAAGCGACCATTCTTCGTATTTTCAGATGTTATTAAGTGCAATTCAAATATTTCCTACTCTAAAGGTTCAGTTTGAACATTCAATATGCACTTCTTATCGAGTTAAAGCAGTTTAATTACGAATAACAATTCCCTAACTTAATTACAATCGATTCTTCACGCACCAAATTTGAGGCATCTTTTATTTTCCCCCTCAGCTTGATTGTAAATCAAGTTTCCAACCTTAATGAGACGCCCATTTTTTGCTAAAAATGTCAAATGATGCTTCCCACTTCAAAGCAAAACTTTCGCACAATCTTTCGCGTTTCTTTCTCGCAAGCAGATATCGATTTCTCGAATCCTCTGAAAGGATGAACTCTGTCGTGCAGACAAGCACTAAAATCTCGGGGACACTAGAGGAACCGCCCAGGTGATTCATCGCGTTTCCGCGGCGCCTCCCCTTCCTCCTAAAGCGCGTCACCCCCCCCCCCACAAAGCTGCTTCCCTTTCATCCTTTCGTCACGACCACCGTCGCCTCCGCCGTCCTCGGCATCCGGACGAGATCTTTTCGCGCCGTAATACCTACGTTGCTATTGTAAGTGGTCGCCACAGTCGCCTGCTCGACCATCAGTCGGGATGGAACCTCCGCCCACTTGGGCATTCGAATGAGTCGTTTTCGCGCTGCAATACCTAAGATGCTAATGTTCGTGGTCGCCACAGTCATCTGCATGACCAATGTTATCGACTTCCTGCAAATTTTCGACTCTGCTACGACCCTCTTGGATCGTACCCGATTTTTTCGACACATGGCTTTTATCATCCAGACCTACAACTGTACTGTACCAAATACGTTTTCGTTGTAACTGATTTGTTTATATCTCCCTAGAACGTCCATACCTCCGCTTACCATCTTGAATACGTAGCCTTGACAATTTAAAGCCTAATTGAAATATTTTTTTCTTTCATCTCATTTTTATAATTTCCGCAATATTTCTGGTACGAACCTACTCCTTATAACGACATTTACCACTCACATGGTAAAGCCGACGACGTCACATTTCTCTTCAAGGAATATTCCCCAACACCTCCACCATCACACACCCTTTGGCTGCAGCCCATTCCGGCGCTCCTCCATCGGCCTCCGTTCTCCCGCCCCTCGCCCCGCCCCACTGTCCTCCTCCTCCTCGACTTCGCTTCCACTTTCCCCGGCCTCCGCCGCCGCCCTCGCCGGGGGCGGCAGGTCGCCGCGGCAGCGCTCCTCTAACGCCATTAGCGCCGGGCGATTGCGTTAGCGGGATGTTGGATCCGAACGTCAGCCCTTTGATGACGTTCGTCACACGCTAACAGCATTACGGCCCCCGCTGATCAATGCTGCTCGCCCCCAGACGGGCTAAGCCGCGCGGCAGCCGCGGGTGAGAGCGGGGCAGCGGACGGAGCTGGGCGGGGTCCGCCCGCTCCGGGAAGAGAGTGGGAGGAAATGGTTGGGGCGAGGCGGGGCGGGGGCGGCGCGCGGAACGATCGTGCAGGGTGATTCCGCGACGCCGGGCAAATTCGAGCCACAGTTGAGAGACGAGAAAGAGGCGTTCGCGAGATGATAAAGCTAGTAGAACCAAAGGGAGCCCTTAACGGAACTCGCCAGTGGGTCGATGAAGTGTGCGTGTGTGTGTGTGCGTTGTGTGGCGTGGCTGTTTGTGGTTGTGTGTGCCGTGCGTGGTGTGTGTTACGTGTTAGTGTGCGTGTTGT